GGGGGGGGGGAGGTCTGCAACCGCGTGGGTGGCTGCGCCGCCTGTGCCGGCTGCGCCTGTTTGCTCGTCCTTTATCCCGGGAGTCGAGTAATCTCTTTAACTCAGGCGGCGAGCTCCGCTGCCGTCCGGAGATAGCGGCGGCGGGCGCCCTCTGCGTGCCTCTTGGTGACCCCTAACTGATTGTGGTGTGCTTGTCGTGTTGCAGGATGCCCCTGGGCGCGGCGCGCAGCGAGGACGACCTGCTGGTGCCGCTGGCCGCGCAGCACCTGGGCCTGGCCAACCGACTGCGATTCCAGTGCGTGTCAGGAGGGTGACGATTTGTGACCAGGACGGTGGCGTCCAGCATGGAGTGCATGGCATGATAGACACGATCGCGGACGTGCTGCGGCAGGCGTTCGGCCGTGCAGCCATGAAGTCGCGCGAGGTGCTCATGGAGCACGTCCTGGTGACCATCCCGGCCACAATCCCAGAGGTGCTCGACGTGCCCGCACTGCCGCGGGCCGCGTCCGCCGACAGCCTGCACCAGCACCACCACACGGCCTCGGAGGACGAGGAGCCCGGCGTCGCCACCGAGGAGGCCGAGGGAGCCGAGACGGACCTCGGCGACCTGGAGAGCGACGACTCCAACAAGCAGCCCCTGTCGCTGCCGGTCGTGGCCGCGGTCGCCGCGCTGCCGACCCTCCCCCGGGCGAACGCCGACAGCGCGCCGCCGTCCCTCCTGTCCGTGCAGCACGCCTCGGGTCGCGTCAAGCGGCTCGGTACCGCCTCGTGGACCGCCCAGGAACGCGCCAGCAGAAGGTAAGCGTCGGCACGGGCGAAGGGCGTCCAGGAATAGGACCACTCCAGGACGGTGGCACGTCTCGCAGTTAGCAGACGAGTGTGCGGGTGACGAGCAGCACCACTTTGAGGTCATGCACGATCTGTGCTCGTGTGTGTGTGTGTGTGTGTGTGTGTGCCCCCTCTTCCTTTTCATGCCCCGTCCGTCATGTGTCAACACTCGTTCTCAAGTGTTTCTAGACGTCCCCTCTCTTTGTCATGTGTCGTTTGACTCTCCATGTCGCGCGTTTAGACACGGTAGACGCTCGAAAGGATGCCTCTCAAAAAAAGAGGACGTCCACGCGACAATTTTCGAACAGGGCAGAGTAATAATGGCGCTAGCCGGTTCCTTGTCGAGTCCTCCCCGTCTTTAAAACGTCAGATGTGATTTGAAACGCGCTCGCTTTTGTTCCAGGCCCAGGTCGGCATGCAGCAGCAGCTCCTCGCTGACGGGGGTTGGGGTGGG